AAATGGTAAATGGACTGTACTTATATAGCGCCTTTCTATCTTATTTCAAGATACTCAAAGCGCTTTACATTACAATCTGTGCCTCATTTACCCATTCATACAGCACTCTACTAGAGCTCTACAAAGCTAATTGAACAAATTATTCTAATGAGACTAACCAGAGCTTTAGATCACATTCATACACTGATGGGACACACATCAGAGGCAACGAGGGGTTCAGTGTCTTGCCCAGGGACACTTCAGTATGTGGCTGCTGGTGGATTTGAACCCCCAACTCTCACATTGGAGGACAACTGCTCTAACCACTCAGCCACAGCCACCCACAATGTGATGACATTATATATATATACACATATATGTATATATGTATATATATTTATGTATGTATATATATATATATAAATATTATTTGTCTTTCGGTTCAAACAGACTTATACTGCCATCGAGTGGTCAAAAAAAGGTACTAAACCATTTGATTATGGATAATTCTGGCTCTTTTTTGTAGTATTCAGAGTCAGAGAGACAGAGTAGTGTTTTTTTTTTTATTGTCGTTCGCACCACGTGGTACATGTGGTGGAACTAAATTATGTACACAGGGTCCCAGTTACATCCAAAAATAAAATGTAAAAGAAAAACAGTAATAACATCTAAGATATGAACCAAGAAAAACATCAACTAAATAGACACTAAGCACTAATAGCATAAAAACAATATGCTGAACAGCAGCACGAACATGAGTCTGTGTTAGCAGATTGTTAACGCCTGTAATATTGTTAATGCCTGTAGTGGTTTTGTATTTTTTATTAATAATAATTACAAAATGTTGGATTGTATACCTGGATTATTGAGCATGGACTTTGTTGTTAATAATTATAAAACTTTAAAAGTTTACAAAGCTACACAAATTCACAATATTTTAGATGATCACTTGATGCTATAGGCTTAGACTGCTGGAGGACAAACTGACCACACTTTTCACTCTGCTACTGTCTTTACTTACTCTGCTCAACCTGTTTTGTATTTGTAATTATTTTTTCTATCCTTAACATGTGTTTTTTGTCTTTCAGATACACCTGGACCTATACCTGGACCTACCATTCTGTGTTCGTCTGTCTCTCCTTCCTGTCCTCTCAACCAGCCGGTCAAAGCAGATGGCCGCTTGTCCTGAGCCTGGTTCTGCTGGAGGTTTCTTCCTTTTAAAAGGGAGTCTTTCCTTTCCACTGTTGCCACTGTGCTTGCTCAGGATGGGAGACTGCAACAAAGCCAAGATTCAACTTGTCTGCTGGATTCCTTAGATAGTGAACTTTACTAATTGGCTTTTATGTATGTGAATGTTTCTGTAAAGTGCCCTGAGGCAACTTTGTTGTGATTTGGCGCTATATAAATAAACTGAATTGAATTGAAAAAAATCATATCATGCTGCTGATTTATTTCACACTGCTGTGTTCATTCGTACTCATCTGCTCACACAGACTCGTGTTTGTGCTGCTGTTCGGCATATTGTTTTTGCACTATTAGTGCTTAGTGTATTCTTAGTTATTGTTTTTCTTAGTTCATATCTTAGATCTTATTAGTGTTTTTATTTTAGCTAACAAAATGATTAACAAAATATATATTTTACCCATAATCCCACTCTGTGGTCATGTGAACCTAAGTGACCAATGAGGTACTCTCACTGAGTCACACAAGAAACAACCCCCCTCCAAAGGAGATGTGCATTAATGAGGCAACCTGTTTAAATAAAGTTAAAAAAATAATAATAATCTGACCTTAAGTCTTAAGTGGTTAATTTCTTGACTTCTGGTCTCCAAAAGTTGCAACAAATTGTCTCTCTCACAACACAAACATAAAAATACCAACTAATGAGAATCTGTGACCTCACCACACTGAAGGTATGCCAGAGAGTTTTCACATGTTATGGAGTGAACTGTTGAAGAAGCTGTTGAAGAATGAAGAAGATCAGATTAGAATCAGTTCATTTCTGAGCAGCTGATGAATTCATAACCGCTGACACGTCCTACCTGGTGAAACGCAGGAGTAGGTGGTGTCTATATACTTATAGATGCCAAAGCAGGGATCAGAGGTGCGAACCACATTCCCATTTATTTCACACACTTCCAAACCGTTGCATCTAAAAAGTTATAAAATAAAAAAAAAAACATAAATAAAAAATAAAAAACACATTTTTATGAAAGAGCGAAGCCATTCCAGTAAACCTGCCATATTGGCTGCTGTTGTACAGAATATTTTGTTTAAACAAATATTTTCCATGTCAAGCAGAAGACGAACTGAAAACATCTCAGTTAACATGTGTCTACTTAAGGAACGATAATTTAATGTGAATAAAGCCCATTATCTCTCTTTAGCATGAGTGGACATTTGTTGTGATTTTTATTATATATAAATCAGAAGTGGGCAGCATGGTGGCGCAACTGGTAGAATTGCTGCCTCTCATCGAGAAGGTTGCCGGTTCAAATCCCGGTCCGGGGGGCCTTTCTGGGTGAAGTTTGCATGTTCTCTCCGTGCATGTGTGGGTTTTCTCCGGGTACTCCAGTTTCCTCCCACAGACCAAAAACATGCATGTAAGACTGATTGGTAACTTTAAATTGTCCTTAGGTGTGAGTGAGAGAATGAATGGTTGTTTGTCTCATTTGTCTCTATGTGTCCCTGTGATGGACTTGCGACTCGTCCAGGGTGTACCCCGCCCCTCGCACAGTGATTGCTGGACATGGGCACCGGTGACCCCCGTGACCCAAAATGGAAGAAGCGGGTAAAAGATAATGGATGGATTTTTTTTCCCCTCTGTGCTTGGGTGAAGACAAACATGTCTCCCTGTGTTCCGAATCACCCCCCACCCCCGCTTCCCTGCTTGCTTTGTTGTCTTGTGAACCCCTAAAGAGCCTCTTTTTTCCTGTATACCTTCCTAATTCAAACTATTTGATCAGCTGGTCTCTCAACAAAATTGATCAACTTCTCCCGACAGGAGTCAGGGTAAGGAGGACCCTCTTACCTACAGAAACAAATTGGATTCATGATGACAACTGGATCTTGCTGTGTGGGTTGGTGAAATCAAGACTGTCTACAAATGTGTGTGGATATGTCAAAGCTTGGCAGCATTCAGACTGAATTATGTGGAGCTGCTTCAGAGAGCTGGAGCAGCTGTTATCAGGACCTTGAACTTTCTGGCAGCACCCATGAATGGTTGGGAATAATCTGGAGAAGCTGTGAGCTCGACTTTTGGCGTAAGGAATCAGTTCGGCTGTTTGGAGTTTCCATCAGAGGAATATATACCAGCGAGACTTTAAAAGGCAGAAACGGCAATTTACAAGTTCTGCCTGACCCAAACTGTGGCCTTGACGCTGGACTTATCTCAACTCCTCCTGGCATGTTTAGGAAAAAACAAAGATGCTTTGTCTGTCTCCTCACCCCTCCCTTCCCCAAGGCCGTGGACATGTGACGGAACCTCAACCGAGCTGATGATGAATAACACCTCTTATCTGGACAATGGTTGAGAGGGGGGGGGGGGGCTCTGGACTATGCTACAACTTTCCATTAAAATTCAATGTCTTCACTGGCCTATATGTGCATGTATCATGTATATTTATGTAGCTATGCTGTGGTAGGCTTTTTTGATGCCTCAAATCGTGCCCTGTCTAAGACAAGGTGTGAAAGATCTTTTTTTATACAGTCTCTCCTCATATATTCTTCCCTTTTCTCATTTCAGTAAAATATTATTCTGAATAAGAATAAGAGGGCCGCATCTTCATAGTAGCAGCTTTGTGCACTCCGCCCGTCTTTCAGACAACTACGTACATGTTCTTGTTGTATCTCGGTGCAATGATAATAAAGTTTATTCTGATAAATCAGAAGTGAGGATGTGGCTTCTCTGTCATAAAAGTCCAAGAATTATTCAGATACTGTATGATTTAACTTAAGTCAAATACTGATTGCTAATGAGACATTTCCTCAAAAAATGTTCATAAAAAGGTGTAAATACAGTGATAAATTGATTTTATGTAGCTACCGCAGCTAGTTAAACTGGTAGTGTCATGTTCAGTTTTGTAGGGTTATTGATAACATTTATATTTGTTTATATCACAGGTTGAGCAACTGGGAGATAAAGTTAGAGAGGACAGACTGAAATGATTTGGACATGTGGGTATATTGGTAGGAGGATGTTAAAAATGCAGATGCCAGGAAAAAGACAAAGAGGAGATATATGGATGCAGTTAGAGACATGGAGGTAGATGGAGTGAGGACAGAGGACGCAGAGGACAGAGTGAGATGGAGGAGGATGACTCACTGTGGAGACCCCTGAAGAGGGAACCGCAGAAAGAAGAAAAAGATGATTTGAAATATTTATGAAATAAAAATAAAAAAAATAAAACGTTCATTGTTATTGTATATAAAATAAACTTTTGGGAACCACTGTTGCTGTAAGTTTGTGTGTGTGTGAGTGTCTTTGTATTTGTTGCCTTGTAAGGCCCATTTGTCCAACATAGTACACTATGAAGACCAACTGCTCTTTATGGGGCCCAAAGCCCATTGGTGGTTTAGGGGTTAGGTTCAGGACTAAGGTGTGAATCGAGGATGGGCTAGATTAAGGGTTAGATATGTACTAGTAATGGTTAGGGTTAGGATAAAGATCAGGGTTAGGCTATAGAAATGAATGAAAAATGAATGAAAGTCAAAGTAAAATCTCTGTAAACAGAGGAAGACAAACTCGTGTGTATAAGTGTGTTGGTAAATGTCATTTGTCAGGACTTCAAGCTTGAACGTGCACAACACGTGGGACATTTTGAATTGTGAGAACAGGTCAGATGTTCTGGTACTTTCTTCGGTAAAAAAGGAACGAAGGTTGTATAAATGAATAATAAAGATCTAAATAAACAAAAACTTGAAAAGAAAGTCCTCACAATTTTTAAAAAGCTGTTTTACAAAGCTTCTGTGTTTAGCCCTTGTGCGAATGCCCCTACAGATGCCTTTGGGTACTGCACAAGCTCAAGTTTAATGCACACTGTGTATTTGGCAAAGACATCAATGACTATAATTAAATCAATTTGCTAATATTAGGCTAACATTTGGTGCCATAGTAGCTCTGATTCATTCTTGACACATACTTGGAATATGAACAAATCAATGTTTTTCTATAAAACTTAAATATGCAATTCAGCAGATGTGTTTCTGAAGAAAGGCAAATTTCATTCAATTTTATTAGTATCAATAAACTTTTTCTCTGTAGCAACAAGTAAATTTTTGCTATGAATTGTACTGTATAAATAACCTGAATAACAATAATCCAACATATTTAGGTTTCTTTGTAATGTTACCTTTTCTGGAAGACTTCAAGAGTGCCTTCCTGAGAACAGTGTGTGTTAGTGAGCTGGTTTTTAGGTTTGCCCTCACTGCAGGTCTTTCGGTCTATACGTCCATACAAAGCTGACTCCACATCAATCACTCCTATCTCTGTTACACAGACAAAAGAAAGTGGGTTTAAAGACAAAACAATCCAGAGTGCAAACTAATAAAAAATAACTCTGTTTCCATCAATACAGTATATTTTGCCGGCCTTTAAAATGGTGTCGCTTAATTATACAATCTGAATTATTGTGCTTATACCCTGTGCAATCTCTTGAATGACACTAGACAGTTCAATTACAAAATAATTAGGTTTACTGTAGTTGCAAGCTACAAAGTAAAAAAAAACTAAAATAACACTGCTTTGTAACAAAGAGGATGGCAAGGCTCTGGAAAACTAATACAATTACTTTTTAGGAAATTACTGGTATTTCTGAATCCAAGATGGTGGCAAATTAATTAGCTCAGTGATCTCATTTTTTTCATTATTATTTAAACTGCAATGGTGTGCTGTTCCATATGGTCTTTTTTCTGATCTTGTAAATCTAATCTGGAATTGAGCTGGTCAATAGAAAACTGTCCTTACCAACATTTTTCTTTATAAGAAAAGCATCAACAAAATTTTTTACCATTTGTCGATTTTTTTCTTGTTTATATTTTATATCAGAGAATCTCAGACATACCACAACTCAGGTGTTGTACATTGTCAGCATCATCACAGGTGATCACTCTATGTGTGGATATGGGATTCAAAGCAAGCTTTTGGGCTTTGGCAAATTCTGGAAGAGGAAAAAAGATGTTATTTGTGGAGATTTTTTCTATAAATAATGTTTATGATTCTTTGTTATCTTCTATAAATTAAGCTGTAGCAGTTTTTATTCTGTTGTACTATATCCTTTATTTTTATTGCTATTAGTTTAAGATTCTTTTGTAAAACAGTTATGCAAAATAGCTGCATAGCCCAGTACATCCTAATTCTCTTTCTGACCAATGAAACCACAGATGGAGCTAACCACATCCCATGAAGATGCGAGTTTCCAGAAAAAGTGATCATTATGAAAAAAGCCATCAACATTTTTTAAGGAAATTTTTTGTATTTTTATTTTGTGTTTTTATATTATGGCTAAGATGGCCCAGGACATCTTTACATCTTGCTTTTAGACCAAAACACTTTTATCTTGACCTCAAGGCTGTTTTGCTGACTCACAGTGCATCTTTGTTGTTGTTACCATGAGAACATGCCCAAAGCATTCACCGATGTCCATCTGGAGGCCAACTTGCCAATGGCCATGGATCATGCCTTTGCTTCTGACAGCAGCTGGCTATTAGAAATCACCCGCTAGACTCTGCTGCTGTATAAAAGTATGCAGAAGACTTTTTGCTGCTCTTTCTATAACATGGTCCATGCATATTCATTATGGTGTGTAATAATTACATACTTTGAGAGTTTCACTTCAATACAAAATTTATTTATGAAACATTTTACTAACAGCCAGAGTTAATTCAAAAACTGGCAAAATTTTCAGACCGTGCAACTGTTTAACACTCAGTATAAGTTGGAGATCAGACTCAACTATTGCTAGTTTGCTGACATGTTTGGCAGCGTTACAATTAGGGATGCAAAATATTATCAATATGGTATCGGTATCGTCCGATATTAGAGTTAAAGTTCAATAGCGGACATAGGCCATTCCATCAAAATAACTCACCGATATAAAAGATGCTGTTTTTGCATGACAACCCAGTGACAAGGATGCCTGCAGTGGCAGCCCAACGTGATGATGTCACATGTGCCTACCTGATCACAACGAAGAGGAAAATTCAAAATGTCGGTGGTGTGGAAGTTTTTTTTTTGGTTGGGGAGGATGTCAGATTCCAAAGATTTTTGTACTACGTTGAGCTTCGCTATATCGTCCCCAGTCAGAGATATTTTTCCGACGTAACCTTACCCGAGTTACAAGCCATCATTTCCGATGTGATTGAGAAGCTAATAGCCAATAGCACTTGGGTGAGTTTTACCACAGACATTTGGACGTCGTGTTAGCCCCATTAGCATGATTAGTCTTACGGCACAATAAGTAGACAAAAACTTTGATCTTAAAAAGGATGTCCTTCATGCACAGGAGTACAGAGGATCCCACACTGCAGCTAGGAAACTGGAACAAGCCTCCACAAGTGAGACAGCATTGCAGGTGATTAATGCTAATAAATAACATTTAACACTTTCATTTAATATAAGTTAAAGTGCTATGCATATCATAAGGCTGTTAGTGAATATATATCACCAGCTCTTACAGCTGTTGCACAATTTTTGTAGCAAATAAGCCTAAATAAGAGGAATATGTTCTGACAAAGGAACGTCTATAAAATATCAATATCGGCCAAATAAGTTTTAACATTTTGGATATCGGCATATTGGATATCGGCCAATAATCCAATACCGTGCATCCCTAATATAGCTTACCTTTAGGACCTAAAGATTAGTCTGTTCAATTTAAATTATTTTATATTCTTTAAAAATTATATTTTGATTTAATAGCATTTAGAAGGACATTCTGTTTCATGCAGCCCAACTGAATAAAGTTCTGAAGAATCTCCCACCATTATGCAACAGCAATGACCACTGCAAATACAAGAATCACAAACCTGGTCCCACCTGCAGGGGAAAAAAAAAGATTTAGAACTGAATTCAACAATACAGACAGTATTAGCAGCAGCCTATTCCTTAAACAAGGCCTATTTGGTGGTATCAGTTTGATTAAAAATAAAACTGCACACTGTTTTACCTTTCCAAACCTACATCTTATTAGGAGAGTAGTTATATTCTGATTTGTTTAAAAATCACATGTTCCTTACTGCATGTCTTAATGGCACATATTAAAAAATAAATGCAACAAAAACCCTAAAAGATTATGTTAGGTCATATAGGACACAGAGCCAAGTTGATCTTTCAGCAGTTTTCTTTTTCCAGTTTGATCGGTACATTTCAAACAGACATATAAGCTGTTAAACCTGCCATTTTTTAATTGTCTGCTTCTTCTGATTCTTTATCTGACTTTACACTTTTCTCTGGGAATGCTGCTCTGCTCTAGTCTTTGGAGTTTCGAAATAATTGTTGCAAACTTACTTTTGCTCCAGTCCAAAGTCCACCACTCATACAAAAGATCACAGTGAAGTAAAGTCCTGAAGCCATCTGTGGAAAAAACAATAAAATTGTTTACGGAGACATTTTTAAAATCATCACTTTTTTTTTTTAACAGATTCCAAGATTTTGCCAATTTTACTTAAGAATGCTCTTTTTACAAGAATGAACATGCATCCAATGCACTCACAGTCCAGATGATGCTGCTGTTCAGAGGTCACTTCTCTGTGCCTGTCTTTATGTACAATCTTACAATGTGTCACATGACAATTTTAACATGCAAAATCCTCAGTGTTTTCCCCAAAGCAAGTAACTGACCTAAACAGTTGCTTTTGACAGCCTAACTTAAGGGTTATCATGCAATCTTCTTAGAACTTCTGGTATCCAGAGAATTGACCCACCTCTTGCTTAAGGGTCTTTCAGATCTTTCAGCCCTCTGGCATAGAATGAAACCAAACCTTTGATTTATTTCTCCTTTATTGATCATTCTTAACTTACTAAACAGTTAAACGTCTTTAAATCATGGCACATCCATGTCACACAATTCAAATCCTTCTACATTTAAGCACAGGAAACAATATTAGCAATTATTTTGAACAGAATTACACTCCCCTAACATGACAATTCATTAACTTTGATGGGAATGGATAACTAGTTTTTAGTTGAGCATGAACTTTGATAACAAGTTTCTATCTTACTGATAGATGTGGGCTGCTCTACCATTTTCTAAAGTGGGAGTGCAAACTTGAATTTGTGCGCCAATCTTTGATTTAAAAACATTGTCACTCAAAACAGTAGGACAAATCCTGTACTATTCATTTATTCTAATATAACTTGGCTCTGTCCAAATCAGCTGAACACTGGTAGCTGTTAGCTTTCTGATCAGTCAGATGCCTTTTAGCTGTGGAGATAAGAACATTTTATTTTAATTATAAAAACTGACAAACAAGTTTGAGTCAGGTCCTCTGGACAAATTTGTTTTTGTTGAAACACTTAGTCTTGTCAAAAAGACTTCTTCAGTCTGAGGAGCTGGAATGAAACTTAGTCTTAAAAACAGCACCTTTTCATAGTGGATCAGTCAAAACAAGTTGTTCACATGCAAAGGGAGGACCATCATCCTAACAATAGATTTTTAGTTCCCTGTTGGCCTCTGGAACTTCACTGAGGGCTGAGTGATACTTACAATTAAAGCATTGGAATTGGGAGACAGTTGAACATGGAGGCCTTCACCCCTGTTTAATGGTGGATGGGTTCTCTTCAGAATGACAGCTTATTTTACTCCTCTCTCAAACCAGTGTTCCTCTCTATCAAAGATGTGCACATCATCCCTGAAAGAGTGACCACTGGCTTGCAGATGAATATAGACTGCAGAGTGATGATAGTCTTTCTGCTTTAAAATACTGTAACTGTGCATCTTCCTTTGTCTGCTGGGATGATTATGATGATTTTGTTCTTGCCAAGAGTCTTGCCCCAGCACGGTGGCGCAACTGGTAGAGCTGCTGCCTCTCAGCGAGCAGGTCCCTGGTTCAAACCCCGGTCCAAGGGCCTTTCTGGGTGGAGTTTGCATGTTCTCTCCATGCATGCGTGGGTTTTCTCCGGGTACTCCGGTTTCCTCCCACAGACCAAAAACATGCATATTAGGCTGATTGGTAACTTTAAATTGTCCCTAGGTGTGAGAGAGTAAATGTTTGTTTGTCTTGTTTGTATCTATGTGGCTCTGTGATGGACTTGCAACCCATCCAGGGTGTACACCGCCCCTCGCACAGTGATTGTTGGACATGGGCACCGGCGACCCCTGTGACCCAAAATGGAATAAGTGGGTAAAGATAATGGATGGATATATATATATATATATATATATATCAGAATGAATTCCAACAACAGAAGCATCCAATTTGAAAAAAAATTCCCTGCTATAAATTGACATTGTCATTTTTCACCTCAAAGACAACCGTAAAACAAACAACCACAGAAAAACCAAAGACCAAGTTTTTACATGGAGCCTCTGTCAGTTGTCCAACCTAGTTCCCCAGCATTAAGGGTTTCAACACTTTTTGACACGTTTCCTTATCTTTTTCTTTTTGTTTTAAAAAGACCAAGACTAGTGAATGGGCCCCGATGAATTATTTTTTTTTATATCTTGATATGTTTGAGCGCAAAACTGTGGACTTTTCAATGGACATTTATTATTATTATTATTATTATTATTATTATTATTATTATTATTATTGAGAGATCTCTCTTCCTGTTATGAAATAGGTGAAATAGGTTTATTTCAGAGGCTCTTTATTTTCCTACATAAAGTCTAATCAGTGAGACGATTCACTTTTGTTTGGCGTTAATTTTCGTGAAGGCATATGTGAGTGGCAGATTATTTAGAAGTTTCAGTCAGAACAGCTGATTTTTGTTTATTAAATACACCGTGCTCCACCAACCTGCACTTCTAAGCTGACATGTCAGAGCGAGTTTTATTTTAATGTTGTTTACAAATTTCTCTTTAACATACTCATATTTCTAACCTTTGAAAAATAATTTAAAGAACTCTCTTGTGCGTGTATAAGCTCTGTTTAGACAGGGGTTTGTTACAGGTGCATTGTACAGAAGGTCCATTCAATGAGAAGACGGCACGAGGTGCCGCTGCGATGATTCTGACCAGTGCATGTTTTGTCTTTATGCAGATTAAACAGCATTCCGTTCAACGCTCATCTTATGGTCATCATTAAACACAATGCAGAGTGAACTATAAGAAGTATAAAAACGAACTGACAGGTTGATGTTATTTGGACCGAGCTGAATTAATATCCGGCCAAGTTCAGCACATTACACATCGTTCTACACCAAACCACACCCACATCCACTTGCGCTGAGGCACGTTATTGTACATCCATCCTCATTGGATGAATCCTGTGGCTGTGGGTGGACCCTGGGCTGAACAAAGGGACTAGGGGGCTCAGATTGGCTATGAAGTGTGTGTGTGTATGTGTGTGTGTGTGTGGGGGGGGGGCTTTGAAGAAAATAGGTTGGGAACCACTGGTGTAAAACACACAGGACTAAACAGTCGTGTTAGTGTTATTTTAAACCTTTAATATTGAAAGTATAGAAGTGGTCTGGATCAACACTTAAGTTCATGTTCAATAAGCCAGGTAAAATCCAACAAAGTTCAGTCAGGTCATCTGGACGGTTTTATTTTTATTTTTTTTAAGAAACCATCCAGATGACCTGACTGAACGTTGTTGGGTCTGGATCAACAGTTCCACAGGCTACACAAAACGTTCAGCTCATTCAGGAGGTACATTCTTGGACTTTTGGTTTTAGTATATTTCAAAGTATTAAACTTTATTTACAAACACTTTCATAATAGAAACATATTGAGATCAGTTCAATGTCATTAAAGCAATTGTTTTCTTTGAAACTTGCTAAAGCTCCTAGCTCTGTTTTTTATGCTACTTTTATTCTTTATCTGCCATTCTGGTATTTTAAGCAAGCCCTTTGTGCCTTTCAGGTTTTAACAGACCTTTTGCTACTTTTATATCTTTTAGGTAAATTTTGAGCATTTTAAAGAACCTTTTGCTACTTTTAGCGTTTTGCTCATTTTAACTCTAGGTAGCCCCAATGCTCAGTAATGGGATGAAGTCTAGAGGACCTGACCTGATTAAATGATGACATTAGCGTGTGACTGAACGCTCACGGGATTAAACAATAACAGATTTATTACTGAAGGAAAATCACAGGTGATATACAGCAATATGGCTGTTTTAAATGTCCGCTCTCTTTCAAACAAATCTTTTATTATAAATTATTTGATTTCAGATTTTAAATTGGATTGTCTGTTTTTAACAGAAATTTGGTTAAGTGCAGATGCACCAGTTGTTCTTACTGAGGCCTCTCCACCTGGTTTTAAATTTTTTTTTTTTTTTTTTTTTTTTTTTTTTTTGTTCTTTGTGATGGCCTCCCTTCTCCCCTTACAGCCATCCTCTCCACACCATTATTATGAAATATTTATTATAGTGACTATCTAGTGTAGTTTTTTTTTTATAGGATAGAAAGAAAGAAAAGACAAAGTAAGACTCCAAAATATAAGAAATATATACAAATAGAGCACACGTCAAAACACCCGGCCACTGTCTGTTCACCTGCAAAGAACATGACAAAACACAGCAACAAAATACATATGTATAAAGAACTTAAAATATTCATGGCTTTGCAGTAAGTTTCCATAAATATATATACCCATACCTACGCCTATATACATACATACATACATACACATGAATATACACTCACATACATATCTATATATCTACATATAAAGCCTACATAAGCATCCCTGCTTCTATTTGTGTGTGGTTGTGAGCATGCATAAGTGTATAAGGCTTCTCTAATAGAACATTTATTAGTAACTGTGAAGCAGCAGAGACCCGACCCCCAAGACCAGAGGCAGACGAAAAAAGGGGGGACCAGAGCCCAAGACCCCATGAGGGACCCCGACCGCGGAGCCCCCAGAGCCACCCACACAGGACGAACCACTCACCCACCCTCCAGAACGGACCACAGGGGAGAACCGGAAGATCCCCACCAGCAACCACATACAGTGACCCCCCGGGGCCAACAGCGACAAACTCATAGGCCTCCGTCGGCACCCGCCGCACCGATGTAGGTCCAGGTCCAGGCACCGAGGCCCGGGCACTGAGGACTCACACCACCCAGGCCAAGGCCTGACAGGGCCAGAGGACCCGAGCCCCACCAGGCAGACACCAGGCCGAGCCGACACACGCCCAAGCGCCCAGCCCCCGATACCAAGGGCCCCAAGCGCGCCGGCAGGCAAGGGCACACCCCACCAGGGGGCCGCGCGATAGGGGCGCGATGCCAAGCACCCCCAGTTGTATCAAAGACCTGTATCACCTGGTTTTAAATTTTCTTTTAATGCTCGAAGTGGCAGAAAAGGT